TTCCTCCATGGATGCAGGGGCACAGCTGCCATCTCCCCATGGGCTGCAGGGAAACTTCTGCTTGGGCACCTTCCTCCCCTCCTTCCTCACCAACCACCAGCACTGCTCTCCTTCCCCAGCACAGCTCTTGTCCCCCAGGTCCTTCTCTGCTCAGCTCTTACATCAGTCCTTCCATATGTCAGTGGCAGAGGTTCATCCATTGTCCCTCTAATGACTCCTTGGCTGGTTTGGAGCAGGAGGAGCTTCTCAGCTTCTTACCAGAGCCACCCCTGGGGCCCTTCTCCCACTACCAAAAACCCATCAAACCAGAACAGCAGATTTGCCAACAGCCTTTTTGGTTTTGTTTTGTTTTGTTTGGTTTGAAGTTGTCTCTTTATATTTTTTTTTTTGCAGTCTGAATTGGTTTTTGAAGGGTTAAGTTCCATTTGCAGCTCAATTTCACTTGAGGTGGTGGCAGCAGAGATGCAAATGCTGCTGTGAGAAGGACATTTGTTTCCTTCTTGTTTCAAACACGTGGAGGGAAGAGCTCAGTAAACCAACTAGATTTTGAATGGGGACTAGAGGGGATTCCTAAATCACAACCTGTCTCTTTGTGCCACTGAATTCCAGGTGTTCTGCAGTGGTGTTAATAACTGGTGTTGTTACCTGTGCAAGGTTAAAAAGCATTGGAAAGCCAAGAAAGTGATGCTCATAACACAAAGAAGGTGGTTTCTTTGGCTTTATTTGTCTCACCAATATATTTTTATGCTACTTGGAAAGAAAAATGTCCCTTCCAGATTGTTTCCTCTGGGCTAGATCTGGATCTTCTTGGACTCAAAGTCAGCCTGGAGAGATTTGCTGTTCCTTGAATCAAGTGGGTGGTGGCAAATAGGGCTGGGTTTCTTAGCTAAGTCCTTTCCTGGTAGGCAACAAGGTGTTAAATGTTGGAAATTCACAGCTGCCTGACTTAGCCTGCTGGTTGGGCTGGGAATTAAGGCTTTGGTTCCCATTTAAGGTATAAGGATGTTAATTCCTTGCACTTAACATAGCACCTGCCAGCCCAAAACCTTGACAGGCTTTAAGAACTGTGCTTTGCCTCAGAACACACCCTGCAAGGAGAAAGGAAATGGGGTTTAGCTTCATTTTATGGTTGGAGAAACTGAGGCACTGAGTGACTCTCCTTGGTACCACACCCAGTGACAGGGAGGAAGTCCCAGGCCTTGCTCCAGACCTGTCCTTACTCCCTGAATGCACTTTAGCCTTGCCAAACAAGTCATTTGTACTTCCCAAGGTTTCCTTTGAGATCCTCATCAGCTCAGTGTACTGCTGAGGCATGTCCACCCCTTCATTCCAGGGTATCAGTGGGGAAGACAGTGCTTCCCATTTGGAATGGGATTTGGATGCATGTCTTTGTTTTCTTCTGTGGAAGACCAACTGAAGGATCCCACTGGGTGCTATGTCTGGTGATGCTGTTTGTAATTTCTGCTAATGTGGTAGAAAGGAGAGGAAAGTGAAATGATTTGTGAACTTCAGGTCCATCTGTGTACTTGTGGTTTATTGGCATAGGATTTATAGATTAAATACTAGAACTGTTTATTGACTAGAGCAGAGATTGTCCCTCTGTGCTGGGCACTGGGGAGGGGACACCTCAAATCCTGGGGTCAGGGCTGGGCCCCTCAGCACAAGAAGGACATGGAGGGGCTGGAGCGTGTCCAGGGAAGGGCAAAGGAGCTGGGGAAGGGGCTGGAGCAGAAGGAGAAGGGTCTGGAGAGCTTGTGAGGAGCAGCTGAGGGAGCTGGGGGTGTCCAGCCTGGAGACAAGGAGGTGAGGGGAGACCTGCTGGCTCTGCAGCTGCTGAGAGGAGGTTGGAGCCAGGGAGGTCGGGCTCTGCTCCCCAGGAACAAGGGATGGGACAAGAGGAAATGGCCTCAAGTTGTGCCAGGGGAGGTTTAGATTGGAAATTAGGAACAATTTCTTCCTGGCAAGGGTTGTCAGGCCCTGGCCCAGGCTGTCCAGGGTGGAGTCCCCATCCCTGGAGGGGTTTCCAAGCCCTGGAGATGTGGTGCTGAGGGACATGGGGCAGGGGTGGCCTTGGCAGGGCTGGGTGAATGGTTGGACTGGATGATCTGAGAGGGCTTTTCCAACCAAAAGGATTCCCTGGATTTGCCACAGCTTCTCTGGTTCTTGCCAGGTCCCATCCTGGGCCAGGAGGTTGCAGCTTCTGGCTGGGCAGAATTAACTCAGTGCTGGTTGTGTGCATGGAGTTGGGGGGAGCAACTGCAAAGCTGGTTTGAGCAGGTTTTAAGAGGAAAAAAAAATAATCAGGTTAGCTAAGAAATGACTGTTTTCCTGTTGAATTGTGAGTGATTTCTCTGGACCAATATTCTCCTCCTGTCCCTGTTGTTTGCTTTCTGCCTCTTACTCCAAGCCTTCCTTCAAGAAGGATGGACACAGCTTGAAATCCTTGGTGACCTTTCAGATGTTGACTTGTACTTCCTTGCAGGCTCAAGTCACCTGAAGCAGCACGAGGTGGTCCAGCAACATCATGTTCTTTGTGTCTCTTTCCAGCATCACAGACAGTGCTGTAGAACCATTAAAAGCTGAACTGGCTGAACTGGAACAGCTGATTAAAGACCAGCAAGACAAGAACTGTGCTGTAAAAGCCAATACTTTAAAGAATGAAGAGAAAATCCGGAGGATGATCCTGAACAGAAACATGTCTTCAAGGAGGTGAAGAAGAAGAGGGGGGTGGGGGGTGGGTAAAAAAGCCTTGGGACTGACTGAATTTTCTACCAAAGGAGAAGAAAATAGCAGAGAGAACTTCAAATATGCCTTGTTTAGGGGCCAGAATTGTAAAAATGCTCTAAAATCCCTTTATTGTGTTGATCTTTAGATGTTGATACTATGAGGGTTAAAATGATATTCATTTGGATGCTCAAGTTGCAGAGTTATTAAACTTATTGTTTGTTTAGATGTGAAGTGTTGTTATTCACTGGTCTTCACAGCCCTCCTTCCCTCCCTGCCATCTTGAGCAGGGTTTTTGAGACACTTCTCCCTGCAGCTCCTCCTTCTTCTCCTCATTTCCACCAAGGAACACACCCTGTCGTGAAAAGTGACTATGAGCTTCTTTTGCCCCCTTCAAAAAACAGATTCCAAACAGGTTGGCAGGTTCCTGAATCCTGGTTAATGGGGAACATTATCTCCCAAACCAGGCCAGGAGATCAAGAGGTAAAGCCTTGTGTGACTTTTGCAGCTCCTTGTGCCATTTCAGAGCCATCAGGAATCTTCCTGAGACCAACAGAAAATGCAACACAAGCCTCAATGTGGAAGGGAGCAGAAGTAGTTTTATCTGCACGGGGTGTTAATTCCATTTTTATTGCATCTGTTCATTTGGAAAGGATTAATTTAAGTACCTGCTTCCTCCCAAATGCACGTTCCTGTAACTTTTGGGGATGTGAAGAATTCCCCTGATTTTTGTTAGTTAACTGCAGATGTCTGGACTGGTTTCCTAATGACCTCTGGAGTGTGCTGCACCTCAGACTCCAGCTTCACTTACTCCTAAACCTGCAAAGCATATTAGTGTAGACACAACTGTCAGACACTGCACTGAGCACAGAAGCCTTTAGCCCCTGCAAAGCTCTTGTCTCCAGATTTTTCTCATCTGCAAGCACATCTCCTCCCATGTTGGCCAGGTTGGATGGGGCTTGGAGCAACCTGGGCTGGTGGGAGGTGTCCCTGCCCATGCAGGGAGTTTTAAGTGGCCTTTAAAGGTCTCACTTCCAACCCAAACCAGTCTGGGATTCTGTGATTCTAGAAGATGCTCATGGTTTAAGCACTGGACTTGGCAAAGCTGGGTAAGTGGTTGGTAGAGTTAGGTTATGGTTGGACTCAGTGATCTTAAAGGTCTTTTCCAACCAGAATGTGGAGAGCTGGACCCTGTTTCAGCTGGATTTGCACTCTCTCAGAGTCTGAAGGCAAGTGTGGAGGTGAGTGACCTGCTGTGTGTCCTGGACTCAAGACTTGTTAGCCTTGGGGTGATCTTCATCCATCAGAGCACCTCAGGCATGTCCCTCAGCTCCCTGGCCAGCTTCCTCTTCCAAAATGCTTCCTGCCACCTTGGGTGAGAAAATACCAAGCAACAACATTTCCACTTTTCCAGGGAGAAATTTAATTAGAGGGAATTAAAAGGTATGGTTTATAGTTTCATTCAATGTGATGAAAAAAGGGATTAGGTCCCTCCTTCTACCCAAACCCTGACCTGAGAAGGTGGCAGCCTGGCCTCCAACTGCATCTGGCAGCCACAGCAGGGAAACCCTTTCCAAGGAGAAAAGGGAGAGAAATTCCACCCCAGATTTATGACTTGTGAGGCAGAGGTTTGCCTGGGTGAGCCTGGTTTTATGTCCCACAGCTACAACTTTTGTTGCTTGCCCAGGAATGGGTTGAAAACTGATTTGTTTGGATGATTTTTTTGCTGCATTTGCAGGTCACTTGTGTGCTCAGGTGCTCTTTGGGGCCACTGAAGCTCTGGGTGGTGTGTTGGTGGCAAAGTGTGTGCTGAGATGTGAGGGGGAGCTTGTGCTTGTCCCTACAAGGTGGGGTTTTCCCCCCATTTCTGGCCTATTTTTGTGATAGTCATTAGGAGCATCAGGCTTCCAATGGGAAGGGGTCACTGGCATTGTAAGGGGCCAGGTTTTGGTGCACAGGAGAAATGTTCTGCCTGGTGGGCCCAGCTCCAACCCTTCTCTGTTGTAAACTTCCCAAAGTGCTCAGGGGGAACAGGCCAGATGTGGCCTCATGGTGCAGCCTGGAGCAAAGGAGCTTCCCACCCCCTCCTAGGCTGGCAGCTTTCCATCCCTGTCCATGGAAGTGGCAAGAAAGGGTTGGGTTTGTCCAACTCCCTGGAACCTCAAGGCTCCACAGGATACTTGTCTTTCGGAGCCAAGATGGGAGGGGGAGAGACCAGCCTCTCTCACACCTCAATCCTGTTCTGCTGTGCTGTAGTTTCTATCTGCTGGTGGCAGCAACCAGAAGCTGGGTGGGAAGGAGTGTTAAAATGTGTGTTATTTTGTTCAAATGTCACTTTCTCAAGTATCATGTGCTGGGTTTGCATGGGGCTTTGTGGGCTTTCAACACCTGGAGAGCAACTCCCAGCCTGGGACCACCCCAAGCTGCTCCCTGTGCCCTGGTGGTGGGACAGCCTGCTTGGTCTTGGGATCCACGTCTGGTGGCACCAGGGCTGGCTCTGCTGCTGGCTGGGCTCTGGGATGGAGGAAAGAGGGTCCTAGAATCATAGGATGCTAGGTTGGAAAGGACCTCAAGGATCATCTGGTCCAACCTTTCTAGGTGATAATATCCTTGAAATGAGGTGGCCCAGCACCCTGTCTTAAAACTGCCCAGTGTAGGGGACTCCACCTCTTCCCTTGGGAGATCATTCCACTCTCTAAATCTTCTCATAGTGCTAAATTTTCTCCTGGAATCCAATGGGAATCTCCCCAGGAGGAACTTGGACCCATTGACCCCTTGTCTTTTCCATGTGACTCCTTGTAAAAAGGGAGTCTCCATCTTCTTGGTAACCACCCTTGAGCTACTGGTACATGGTGATAAGGTCTCCCCTGAGCCTTCTCAAGGCTGAACACACCCAGTTCTCTGTCTTTCCTCCTATGACAGGTTCTTCAGATCATCCTCGTGACCCTTCTCTGGACAGGTCCTTCAGATCCTCCTCATGGCCTTTCTCTGGACCCTCTCCAGCCTGTCTTCATCTTTTCTCTACAGCAACGACCAAAACTGAACACAGTACTCCAGGATGTGTCCCCTGTGGGAGAAAAGTGTCCTTGGAGAGGGAAGGAGCTTCTCCAGAAAAGAGTGTAAAGCCCTTCCCAGGTTCAGGTAGATGAGATGGCTTCATGGTCATGTAGGGCCATGTCCTAGTCACCTCCTGGTGCTTCTGCAGAAAAGGAGCTGGAGGCAGAAAAGGTATCAAAATAGCTGGGTCACTTGAAAGGGAGTAGATCTAGGGTAGACATTAGGAAGAAACTCTTCCCCATGAGGGTGGTGAGAGCCTGGCCCAGGCTGCCCAGGGAAGCTGTGGCTGCCCCATCCCTGGCAGTGTTGAAGTGCAGGTTGGATGGGGCTTGGAGCAGCCTGGGCTGGTGGGAAGTGTCCCTGCCCATGCAGGGGGTTGGGACTAGATGATCTTTAAGGTTCCTTCCAACCCAGACCATCCTATGATCTCTGCTCCTTTGTTCCTGCCTCACAGTTCTTCTGATCCAGCTGTGCTACCACAAATTTCTTTCTCCCATCCCCTTTTCTCCTGTCTTCTGGCAGCTGCAAGGTGGGCATCTGAGTTTCCAAACCAGAGCTCAGAGTGAAAGACAGACTCATGCCACCAGAAATGAACCTGTGGGGGTCATGGGTGGGACAGCTCTGCAGGGCAGGACAACTCTCCAACTCCTCTTACAAGACAGGAGGAGCAAAATGTTCTTGGACAACGTGTTGGACAAACTGTGGTTGGAGGCAGCTCGCCCCCAACTTTGGGGTGGGGACTGATCTGTTTGCCATGTCTGTGGCCCTTGGGGGAGCAGCTTGGGACCACTGTGGTGACAGGAATGGGGACAGGTCCAACTAAAGAAGTGAGATGTTGCCTTTAACACGGGGGGAAACCAGAAGCAGCTCAGGGAAGCTGAGACAACATTTCTGGAGCAACGTGAGGGTTTTTTAAAACTATTTCCTGACGACTTTGACCGCTTGATCTTCCAGCCTGAGTATTTCCCTGGTGTTATTTCTTGGCATTTCATTTCCTGAGGTGTCTTGAAGAGCAAGGAGTGAGAAATGAAAGGAAAAAAACCTGGCCTGTGTTTTACAAGCTGCGCTGGTTTCTCCCACAGACCCCACTGACCCTTTGAACCACAGCTGCTCCCAAAGCTGAGGTCACTGGAGAGGTTCCTACTGACTTCAGGGAGGCTTTGAACCCACCTGTAAGTAGTGAGGCAGTTGCAAATGTGCCCAAAAGTCCATTTTGGTGGAAAAGCTCCCACTGATGCCAGGAGAGGCTGGGTCAGAGCCTGGCTGTGGGCTCTTGTGATGGAGGAGCCACCTTGGAATAGCAGAATCATGGAATCCTTTTGGTTGGAAAGACCTCTCAGATCATCCAGTCCAACCATTAACCCAGCCCTGCCAAGGCCACCACTGACCCATGGCTCTCAGCACCACATCTACACGGCTTGGAAACCCCTCCAGGGATGGGGACTCCAGCCCTGCCCTGGGCAGCCTGGCCCAGGGCCTGACAAACCTTTCAGGGAAGAAATTACATCTAAAATCAATGCAGAAGAGCAGATTTCAACATAAAATCAAATAAAATCATCCTTGAAACACAACCTAGAAAGAAGCTTTAAAATTCACATCTAGGACTCCAAGCCAGACACCTTCAGGGGCCATTTCCGACCCTCTCATGATTCAAGGTGCCCATGACATCCCTAGGTATTTCTATTTCTTTCTCCTTAACATTTAGGACCAAATCCTGTGGAGCACACAGGAGCAGGTGGATATGGAGCACACACACCCCCCCACTCAGCTTAGGCAGAGCTGAGGACCTCACAGCTCTCATCTACCAGTTTCCAAAATTCCACCTAACCCCAAAGGTTTGGGTCAGCTCATGGTTTGTCTGAAATCGAAGTGCCAAAAGCATCACTGCCATGCATGTCCTGAGATGCCACCATCTCCTGAGAACCCCCAGTT